ATCGATGATCATTTGTAAAACGATAATCAAGTATAATTCGAAGTAATATAATTGTTGGTTCAAGACGAGAACTAAGAAATAATTTCATAAGACCAAATACAATGATAGTTTTTATTTCCATATTCTACATATAAAAATTAATTTACATTACAAATAGAAATATAAAAATTCTATTACTTGTTCATGAAAAAGATTTAAAAAATATTCTGTTAGAAATTGAGAAGGTGTTAAATTATCAAGATTTATTGTTGTTGTTAAAATATTAATACCATGTACAAGAAGAATATCAATAAAAATTGATAATGATTGACATTTCAATGATATATTTTCGACTTTATTCTAAAGATAAACATAGAATACTTAGAATATGAAACCAATACTATCTTGATGATGTGCATGTTTTTGGTCAAGGAGACATGAACCCACACCCAAGATATGGATAATAAGAGTTAATCTCAAATATGAATATGTCAAGTCATCCGGAAAAGAAAAAACTGGGGAAGAAATAAATTGTCTCGAAAGGTTTTGCCGTGTGGGTCTGGATGAAGATGTTGGTGCAGAAGAAGAATAGTCTACACCTATACATCCGCACCTGCAGCCACCCTCACCCACCCACCCCCACATCCACACCCTCAAGATGTTGTCTTCTATTATTAATAAATTTCGAGTAAAAATTTTCCGGATTTTTTCTTTTTAAAAGCTTTCTTTTCCAGATTACTTGACATCACCTCAAATATGATTAAAGACAACCTACGATGATATGAAAAATTTGTTTGATATATTCCGTAGCTGCTTGTTGTGAATGACACATAAGTGACCCTAATGTTGATAAAGTTTGGGTTTGACTATCAAATTCATTGTGTGATAAACCTGATTTAATCTAAATAAATAAAAGAAAAACACAACATTCAAATCGATCAAGTTCTATTTTTTTATTACTAATGAATCAATTAATTGTTTAAAATTTGCATAATTTAAATCAAATTGTTTTTCTTGTTCAATAAATACTCTTGCTATAGTCATACATTGTATAAATATTAGCTTTTCTAATTGTACATTTTGACAACGTTGAATAATATCATTTAATGTATAGATTATAAGTTGATATCGTTCATTTATTGTATCATTTGATGGATAAATATGATGAATAAGTTGATGAGCTTGTTTAATTATAGGTTCATATTGACCGTAATGTACAAGTATACAACGACTCATAGCTTCAACACATTTACGTCGATAAATATCAAGCATATCAAATGTTGATAGAATCGATACATATTGACAAATAATAAATTCTTTAGTTACAGTTAATTTTTCATTTACAGAAGATTTTATTATACGATAAAGATAAGATATAAATTCATGAAAATCAGGATGAATATTTGTATCATCATCTTCTTCGTTGATTAATTCACATAATATACGCCAAATAAATAAATGTTCAATATAATTCGATATATTCGAAGATAAAATACCACCTCTAAAAATATTGAATATTATCTACATTGTATAACTTCATTGTGTATTTAAACTTACTTATTTCCTCCAATAGCTATTTTTGTATTATTAAGAACAATTCGACGTATATGATTATCTTTAAGAAAATATCGTAAACATGTTTCAATGATGAATCGATCATTATTTTTCTTATTTTCATTCAATGTTGATATTTCACATAATTGCAGTAGATGAACAAGTTCATGTCCACTTTGACTAATCCATCGAGTAAAAATTAAACGAGATAAATCATGAGATGTACTAGCTATTTTAAATATTGTTAAACGACCTTGTCTACCGATGGTATCAAGTGTAAAACCTCGTTCATCAGCTAATAAACTTTCGAAAGCTAATTGTGATAAATCATTATCATTTTCAATAGTTGACAAAAGAAATTGAAGAGAAGAAGAAGAATATTCAAGTAATAACATGATTTGACGACGTCGATCTAAATATGTAGTCCATTTTGGTGAATTTATTCTATCAAGAAAAGCTATAAAAAAAAGTTCAAATAAGTTTATTTTCATAATAATAATCATCTTACTAACCATCAATAAATCGATGATTTTTATGTTGAAATTTCGCAGCTAATGGTATAATTTCATCAAGAACAAGAAATGTTGTTTCATTTCGAAGTAGTTCTAATAGATATTGTTCAAATTGATCTGGTATATAAGGTGATCGAGAAAGATCAAGAAATGTTTGAAGTTTATTTAGGAGACGAAATGTTGTACAACGAATTTGACTATCAAAAGCAATCATTGCCTAGAAATAAAAATAAATTTGAAAATCGAGATTTTTTTGTTATTTTTCTTTTACCTGACTGAAAATATCAATTAAAGTATCGAAAACAAGTGCTAAATTTTTATTACTTGTATAATTAATATGTGTTACATGTGTTAATGTTATTATAAAATCTAATATTCGTATATTTTTATTTGTATGTTGATTAACAAAAATAATTTTAATACAATCAATTAATGTGTCTAACATATCTAATGTTACCTGTAGAAGAATAAAAATTATTTAAGAGAATAAATTGAAAAAAAGAATAAAATTTACATCTGATGATGAAAATAGTTCAATTATAGCTGTTACTTGATCTTGAACTTCATGACCCCGTTCAAATGTAAGACGTTCAAATATTTGAATAATTGGAGATATTTGTTCATCTTCAATATCTTGCATTTCTTCAATAATATTCATCTAAATAAATATATGCGTAAAACAAAACGAAGATTTTTATATTTTTAAATTGATGAGAGAAGAAAAATCTAACGAACTGACAATTTAGTTTTAAATCGATCTATCGAACGTTATAAATTTGAAGAATACGAACAAAGCTTTTCGATAGATGACGTAATTCTCTTGCGTAGATTATTAAACTACGTTACATTAAATAATTTGAGAGTTGAATAATCTAAATCTATAAATGATTTTTTAAGCCTTTTCAATAAAAATTTTTCTGGTGAGGAATCAGTTATGTGTATTCAATCGTAGGATGTTAAATGCTTCATTTGATGTGAGTGACTTTAGTAACATTTAGAATATCTTTTGTTAGTGTGTCACATTGTATCATGGTTAGTTTAATATTTCATTTTTAATTGAAAAATACATCTATATATATATCACTGCGATAGAAAAATACAAAGACAGAGAGAAAGAAAAATATTAGTTAGGAAGAAATTCCTGTTTAAAGCCAATGTCTGGCGATGTTTTTGGTGAATCTTCTGTTTGTTCTGTAATATACATTCTTCTTGGGGAAGCTGCACGAGGAGATCTATTAGATGAATCTTCTATTTGTTCCGTAATGTGTGTTGTTGTTGGTGGTAAAGCTGCATGACGAGATTTATTCGATGAATCTTCTATCTGCTCTGTAATATGCGTTCTTCTTAGAGAAGCTGCACGTGGAGATCTATTAAATGAATCTTCTATTTGCTCTGTAGCGCGTGTTGTTCTTGGTAAAGCTGCATGAGAAGCATTATTTGATGAACCTTCTAATTGTTCTATAATCTGCGTTGTTCTTGATATAGCTGCATGAGGAGATGGACGAAGAGAACCCATCATAAAAGGTAAATGTATTTCATATCGAGAATACATTAAAATAAGAACAAGAACAATAAATAAGATTAAAAGAATAATAATTGGCCAAAGCATAAAAGGTACATGACGCATAGTACCAGCAAAAAATTGTGATAAACTTTCACCTATTGTTCCAAGTGGTGTAACAAATAATTGAGCAAAAGTCATCGATAAAGCCTTTAATTAAAAGAAAAAAGAATCAAATATTATTGTTCTATCAACAAAAGAGAATGCTACCTGAACTGGTGTTACTTGTGAGTGAGGTGTAGCACGTAATGCTTTATGATATTCTAAACATTCATTTGTTGGTAATTGAACAAAATTTCCAAGTTTAGATTTAATCATATCAAAAAATCCCATTGATTGACCTTGACAATGTTTTGGTAATTTTTTCATAAGAACTTCATCGACTTTTGCTTGTGCTTCCTATATATAATAAGTTCATTTAATTTTTGTTATAATAAATAAAAATGAATAAACTAACTTGATAAAGTGTATACCAATTTTGTATAACAGAAACAATAAATGTAACTATAAAAAATGTTGTAAACCATCGACCACGACGAAGATGAGTACGAATGCTAATAAAACTTATTGCTCCAATACTGATCAGAACCAGAACACTCTAAAATATATAAATAAATCTCTGTATTAAAAGGATAATGAAAACACAGGTCTTAATATTTACTTTAATTATTGTATTAATATCAAATGATCGTAACCATCCTGACCATGACAAACTATTAACATATGTTGTATCTTCTATTTGATATACCATACGTTTGAGGAGATCAGATATTACATGAATTTCATGAAGTACATCTTTCTAATAAAATATATGTGGTATAAAATAAAAATTAGAAATCTATTAAATCAAACTTCTTCATAACGTGTCGATGAAGCAAATTGATTAAGTCGATCGAATTCACTTGCAGATAATTCAACTAATAGACGATAGTCTTTACCATCTTTTGACTAAATATATACAATTTAAAATATTAATCTTAATTGAAAATAGAACGAAGATTTCCTACCGGAAATTTTTCAAGCCAATCTTTTACTACATGACGATATGCAGTTAATACTGTTCGATATTCAGTTGTATGTGTTGCTGAACATGTTCCACCATCTTTCTATAATATTTAACATATTAATTAAAACAAAATGAACGAAAAAGAAATTTAAGACATACAAGTTTCTGTACGTGTTTTTGAACTTTTTCTTTAACTTTTGTTGATGCATAATCAACTTTTTCAATAACTTGATCTTTTACATCATTGAACATATCATATATATCTTGTGAACCAACACAAAATGTGGTCAACAATAAATAAAAAATAATGCACCGAGTCATGGTATTTGACGACATATTTTATCTTTATTCAAAAGAAAATGAATTTTTTTAACAGCTGCACGAGTCATATACGTACATGTATAAACGGAAGCAAATAGTTGTGGATTGTCTATGAGCTTATAGAAAATATATTCGATTGATGACGCTAGTTATTAATCTGCCAAAAAAAACATGTATTTTCTTCAAAATATTTTATAGACACATAAACTCTCCGATTGCCAATACGTATGTCTGAGATATTCTTTAGCTTTTCCATATGTAAAAACTCATTAATTATAAGACAGATTGTAGTAGCATTTTTTCCTTCTACGTTTTCATACACTACGCGTTTAACTAAAGGTTCTATATATAATGAATTCCAGATATCGAATATTCAGAATTAGTTCAGCTGATATTAATTTCAGTCTATTATAGTAATCTTCAGGTATATTTGTTAGGAGTTTATTAGTATATTTTTAGTCAAATCAAAACTATCATCCACACACAGAGATAGTTATAAGTTCATAAACAAATGATTGTCTTTCTTCGAAACCAATTATTATATTCTATAACATGTCTCTTTTGAGTAACAACGTTAAGCATTATTTCATGAATGATAAAAAATTAGTTCATTTGATTAAAATCGAATGGAAGTATTCGGATTATTTTTCGAATGTTTTACTACAAATTGTTCTATCTTGTCTAGAAAATGCAGACTAAATATCGTACAAAGGAGGATATGCAAGTATTATAATTACTATTCAACATCACATACTCTATATTAATAGAGGATAGCGAAAATATGAAAAACTGAAAATAAGTTTTGACTGAAATTCCACAAAACATAAATTTTTACTTGATATTTTCAATGAATCTGAGAAGTTCAGATTTCTTTTAGATCTCAAATCCTCAGTATATATTAGAACAACTACGACAATCAGATCACCATCTAGACGTTTGTTTGATAGTTCACTGTAAAAATTAAAATTTCTTCCAGAAAATATGATAAAAAAATTTCCTACGTAAATATTATTTTATCCGCTCTTAGTAATAGATGTATGACGAATGCTATGCATCACAATCAATGAGCTATAGACAAATCATGTGGCGCACTCTTTCTTGACGAGTCATCATACAAATGAAAGTCCATTATTTAATATTTATTCTTTTTTTCTTTCTCACACATCATATCATACACATACACGTGAATATCTAGTTGTGAAACAAGGATATCTTTTGAGTCATATACCCTTGTAAGTAAGCATCAAATTTTCGTAAGACAAAATGATTTATCGTTCGTTCGTTCGTTCATTATTTAGTTTTGGTTTTTAATCAAAAATGAATTTCAATGCAAATCAAGCATCACAAACAGCAAATTATGCTGGACAAGCCATGAGTGCTTTTCAAACAGCAGTCAATATCGACAATCAACAACCGCAAGCTGAAGGAACAACATTTTGGTTTCGTTGGCTTATTCGAATTGTAGCCATTGTTACTGGCATTCGTAAGTTCATTTCAAAAATTAAATTTTAATTTACTTTTTCTTTTCATTTATAGTTGCAATGGTGTGTGGTGTTTTTGGCGCACTTAGCGTATCGGCTTCATGCATAGCAGCTGGTGTTTTAATGATGTATACTAATTTCTTTTCCTATTGATAACTATAGATAATATTTCTTTATAGATTTTTTGGTTTCTCAATGATTATGTTCGAAGTACCAATTTGTTGTCAATTTGTTTCATATACTCAACCAGTTGCCAAATTTTCTGAAAGACGTCCAGCATGGCAAAAAGCTATGATTTATTCAATGTTAGTTGACTAAATGAGGATTAGGGTTAAATTCATTTTAATTAGAACTAAAAAATCCAATCTTACTAATGTCTAGAATAACTTTTAGTCAGATATTAAACAAAAAAAAGAAGAAGAAGGATCTATTTCTACTTTTGAATTGCTTCTTCAATTTCGATTTGTTTGACAAAGAGAAAACGAAAGATAAAATTTCTTTATGCATCGTTTAGACCACCACTTCTTCCACTTGTTCTATGCCAATCGGTAAGCATTGTATTGGGTTTCATTTGTTTACTTGTTAATGGAGCTATTCAATTCATGTTAGCTGTTGGCAAAAAGTAATTAAAAAACGATGTTATCACTAAGCTCATTCATGCATTTTATTATTGTTTTAGAGCATCAAGAGAAGAAATGCTTAGTCGAGCTGGTGTATCAGGTGCGAACGATCGTGGACCACCAGTACCTAATGGTCCTCCAGTAAATTCAACCGGAGATAAAGGTTTTACATTTACTCAATTGCCTTAATTATTCGAAACGGATTCCATTGGTGACAATTATTCCACTTGTATTTTTTCTTTTTGATTATTATCATTGAACAACACTAAATGTCTGTCTTTGCCTTTTTTCTTTTAAAATCAAATTACGCTAACAGCATATAAAATATATTTATTGTTGCTATTTATCGATGGCTAGTTTTTAACTTACTGTTATCATGACGTAATATTATTGTTATTCGTGATTTTCCTTCATTCTATTGATTTATTTCTCTGTATTTCTAACATTTTCTTTCTTGCTAATCTTCGAACCAAAATTTATAAAAAAAAAAAACAAAACCGTTTGTCAAAAGCTTAAAATATTTTTAATATTTTAATAGAAAAGAAGTAAGGTATGTGATATTACGCGAACATACGGCTTCTTCTAACTTTTCAATGGGTCAGTGAACGATAAGCACATGAGTGTTTAGGTCCATAATATCGACGAAAACAAAGAAAGTCAAGGCAACTATGAATCGAAATGGATACAGGAATCTATCGATGTCATCTTTTGCGGGTCAGCGCCCTCACCCACACTCAGATGCTTGTGTGCTTAAATATCCTTGTGCTCATCATTCTGGTTCCCTATATATTGACATTCAATTTGACTTCTTATGTTGGTTTTTATTAATAGGCAAAATAAAATCTTTGAAGATCAATAAAACATCTTTTTTTCTAATGAAAACATTGTAAACATAAATATTTTAAATATTTTGTTAATTCATGATTGTACAGAAATAAGTCAATTATATCAATCAATAATGCAACTTCACATATGACTGTAATACTTGAAGATACTATTGGACGAACAGGTATGTAATAACTTATAATTGGCATAATAAATACAGGAGCCCATCCTCCAACAAATACACAAAACATTAAGATCATATGTCTCAATAAAAACATATCACGACGACTAATTTTTGTTTGTTGAATATGTCCGGAAATAGCTTGTGGTTGAATACGACGAGATGAAGATCGAACATAATGATATATAAGCGCATTTATAATCAAACACATCATTGAAGAGACTATTATAGTACCAACAAAATAAGAAATAGACAACCACAATGATCTACCACAAGGCTAAAGAATAATAAAAATATAATTTATATTATTTTTAGTAAATAGTTCCTTATAAAAAGTTCATATAAACATGACAACTATTAGTATTCAGCTAACGTATTAAGGTATTCTTTAATCTTACTACTAAACTCACAAGTCAATAAATATTCTTACCAATTTTATACATACTAAGTTTGGCATTATTAAAATAAATGCTAACAACCATTGACATCCAATACATAATATAATCCATCGTTTAGTTCTGAAAAAACTTTTCGTATGATAAACTATAGAACAATAACGATGAATTGATGTTGCTACAAAACTAAATGGTACTTGAATTGTAAATATTGTTTGTGTAATGTATAAATAAATCCCAGTACTTTGAATAAAATCTAAAGGGTACTCCATGAACGGTAATGCACGAAAAGGAAGCCAAGAAAGACAACAGCATATTGATGCAAGACATACATTAAGTGTAAGTATATTATTATGTTGATGAAAACGACGAATAAAAATAATTGGAATCATATATATTAATGCAAAAATTATATTAGCAGAAAGAATAATAATATGAACAACAGAAAATATACCAAAATCGATATCCATGAACGAAAAACATATAAGAGAGTTTAAATTTTTCTAATAGAAAAATTAAAATAGAGAAGAACAGGTATCAGCTTGTTATTTATGCTTTATAAAGGACAAATGATGAACTATTCCATCTCTCTACTAAGCGGAAATCTATTGTGAACTTTTATTCTTACTAAAGGTTCAAACTTATAATAACTAACGAGAATAGAAAAACATGTAAGACTTCGATATGATATACATCTCCATTTTCTTTCTCAGTGCTAACGTGACAAATCACTAATTTCTTTCAAAAATGCTATCAAAACATTACCGCGCAATAATCTAATTTTTTCTTATTGATATTAGATCAATTACTGATCTTAAATCCGCAAACAGTATTTCTTAAAATAGATATCTATTAATTATTCTCTTAGAATGCAGAAGTACTTTGTCCTTTCTATTTTCAACATAGATATAAAGATTTATCACGTGTGTTTAAAGATCACTAAAACAAAAACATATCAATACTTAGATGTAATACAAAAATCTTGTTTAAACCAGCATATATACAGAAAATAAAGACAAAGTTCAACAGATATAATTCATAGGCGTCAATGATCGCATTGCCATTAACATATATCAGAAATTGTTAACATTATCTTTAATTCATTTAAATTAGCTAGACAATGTTATGAGAGATGGAATAACTTTGAAATTTAGATGTACTAGAATGTTTTACCTGAAACATTCAAGTATTTTCTTCATGATTGTTATATATACTGTTCATTCTTCTTCCATTAAATGTTCACAAAGACTCAATTTCGACAATTTCACTTTTACGATAAAAAGAGTAGGGAAAAGACAGCTAGAATTTCGTCATCATTACAAATTATGCATAATATTTAATAGTTTAGGAACAAACTAACAGCAGATTTTTGTATTTGAAAGTATCTCTAATTGAATACATTAGAATCCGGAAAATCATTCTAAAATTATCTAAGATTAGTCATTGTCATTCATACACAATTTTAACACTCAACTTAAAATTAATATTTTACATTTCACTATTAGTTAAATAATGTGATTGCTACTCACTTTATAAGAAACAGATAGTCTTAATCATTCAATTCACTTAGTTTGAATACATCTGTTTTTTTTGTAAATACTTTTATGTGATAATTTCCTATATTCATACAAATCGAATATAGAACCACTCAAAAATTATACGGATTAGATAGCCAATCTTATAATGATATCAAATATAGTTGACTAAATGTATGCA